GGGCCTACATACATGTTTGAGAGCTTTGAGTGCTATTTCCAGAACACCTGAGGTCACCCAATTTGGAGCTGTGTTCTGAAAGATAGCGTCTCCGGAAGAGACGTCGGTCTAGAAGCTATTTTTCCTGCCGTTCCGATGTGATGCGAAGATGAGCAATTCGGGAAGCCTTCCACTTTCCAAGCTGATATGATCCAAGGTGATCTACTCTGAAGAATAAAGGCTACAGGTGCGATGATGGTTTGATGATGTCGTGATAGAACTATGGAGATCGGATCGATGAAGGGAGAGGGTAGTGTGATGCGGCGGATCGAGTGAGATGAGAGGGTGGACGTGGATTGATGCGGCGGATCGAGTGAGATGAGAGGGTGGAAGTGGTGTGATGATCGATTAGGTGATGATGGAGAGATAGAAGAATCTCTTGTAAACAGATTACTTTTTAAGAGATTCGAATTTCAGAGTTCTTAGTTCTCAGAAATCAAAGAGAGAAGAACACGTTAAAAGTTTGATCAAAATTCTTCACTGAATAACACTTAGGCGATTTTCTCTAATTTATAGACTAAGAGAGAAAATCGCAGCCCTAATACAAAACTACATGAAGTTTGAAATAAAAACAACACAAAGTTTGAATTAAAAATAAAACAGCGAGGCGTCCCTTCTAAATCCTAAGTGGTGCGCCTAAAACAACTAGTCCACAAGTCATTGTGACTTTGCACGTTATTACCCATTAGTAACAACTTCTAAGTAACTCGACGTAGCAATGATTTCTGCCTCGTTAAAAACCTTGGAGAAGAACCTCCTTGCCTTCCAAAATCCTCACCAAGGAAAAAAGTACAGAATCATCACCTAAGTTACCTAGTCATTGTTACTGGGTTCTTCATTCTTCAAGATAGAGATGTTGATGATGTGAGCTCCAGCCTCCAGTTGATCGATGTCCTCAGCGGCCATGAGTGCGTGAGCCTCTTTAGCCATCTCTCTAGCTCTGGAACGAGTGATCCTGCCAGCTACCTCTGGTTCCTCCTCCTCTGAGCTGGTCACGATCATATCATCCTCTCCCTCTTGAAAAGGATTTGTCCTCAAATCTGAATCTGCAACATAAGGAAGCAAGTCAGAGACATTGAAAGCATCAGAAACATCATACTTACCTTGAAGATCAATCTGATAGGCGTTGTTGTTGATTCTTTTGATGACTGCGAATGGTCCATCAACTCTGGGCATTAGTTTGTTCTTTCGCTCAGCTGGAAATCGCTCCTTCCTCAGATGGATCCACACCAGATCTCCTTCTTCGAAAATCAGCTCCTTTCGTCCTTTGTTGGCATGCTTCTCATACTGCTTTGTTTTCTTCTCGATGTTCTCCTTAGCCTTAGCATGTATTCTTCGGACCTGTTCAGCTTTCTCCTTGCCATTCAAGCTGCATTTTCCACTTAAAGGCAAAGGGATCAAGTCTAGAGGTGATTGTGGATTAAACCCATATACAATTTCAAAAGGAGAAAAGAGAGTAGCGGAATGCTTAGCGTGATTGTAAGCAAACTCGACATGAGGCAGACACTCTTCCCAAGTCTTGAGGTTACTTTTCACCAAGGTCCTTAGAAGTGTTGACAACGTTCTATTCACCAC